CCCCCAAGCCCTCTCCCCCCAGCCTGCACCCCCAAGCCCTCTCCTCCCCTACCTGGCTCGGAGGCTGCTCTGCCTGGTGAGGAAAGTTCCAAACCAGCGCTTAACTGCCCTCACCCTGGAAGTCCTTATGTCCCCATGGACAACCCATGATTTCACCTTTCAAGATTCTTCTAGCGCAGTCTTAATTTTTTTCATTATGTTTTATTTGTTTATTTATGCATAAAGGGAATGGGGTGCAGGCCGGAAGTATGGAGGTGAGAGGATTCACCAGGGACAGAGTGGGGAGCAGAACAGGCAGATCGACACAGTACACGGCTGGGGGGAGCAGCGGGTGAGACGAGAGGTCTGCTGCGCCCTGTGGGTCAGCTCCCTGGCCAGGGATGGAACGCAGGCCGCAGCGGTGATAGCGCTGAGACTCAACCCCTGGCCGCCAGCTCAGTGCCCCCTCACTGGCTCGGGAACTACGCCCTCCTTGCTGGTGACGCGGCCAGCGGGCGCTTACTGCCTCTAACACCTGTGGCCAGGCCGTTGGCCCCCACGCCTCCCTCCTCAGTCCCCAGCACAGGGCTTATGTCCTCTGTCTCTCCCTAGGAACACCCCAGGGCGACGCAGCCTAACAACCCTAGCTCCTCCCCAGCAGATGCCCAGGGATGACAAGCCCAATCCAGGAGCAGACGCCAGGGCTCAGTAGAAGGCCTCCTACTTCCGGGAGGACACACAGAGCAGCGCGGGCCAGGGATGAGGCCCGGAGCCCGTTCCAAATTCCCCTGCTCCAGGGTCTGCGTCCCACAAGCAGCGGTGAGCTCTAGCAGCTGAGATCAAGACAGGACTTGGAGGTCTCCTCATCCACTAACCTCCTGACGCCGCCTGGTGCCGTCCAAGCTGCTTCTCCACCAACCAGTGAATCTGGAACTTGCCTTGGTGCTTCACAAAGCCAAGTCCTCCCTGTAGTCTAAGCTCAGTGCCTCGAACTACGTCGGTTTCATCAGCCCTGCCTCTGGCAGGCACCAGCTCTCACCCCACACAGCCCTTCAGAAGCGGAGGGGGTAGCGGAGGGGTAGCCCCTCTCTGAGGCCAGGCAGGGCTGTACCTGGCTGTCCAGCCTCAGCACTTGCTGGTGCCTGCTCTGTTTTCCATTGTTGCTGCCCCCCCACCCTACAGCCCCCTGGTGTGACCGGTCTCCCGTATCCTATCCACCCTCCACTCCCCCATCCCTTGGTGACTCATCCCTGCGCTTCCCAAGGAAGCCCCCACCCTCTGCCCTTTCCTCCCCTTCCATGAGTGGAAAATCCACCCCCCCACCCAGGCAGGCCTGCCCCCTTCCTCCCCAGCCTCCAGCCCATCCCCCAATGCGCAGCTTCCTTTCCAAGCAGAGGGAGCAATCACAGTCACAGGGCAGGACGGTGGCTTCCTCTGCTGGGAGGAATTGAGGGGCTGGGCCCCCAAAGAGGCCCCTGGCTTCCCCCTTCCTCCGGGCAGGGGACAGAGAGACTCAGGGAGAAGGCACCGACTTCCTCTTGTCTGGGACCGAGCATGCCTGCCCTTTGCAAGGGGGTCTGGGTCTCTCACGCAGAGGAAACCAGAAGCGGTGAGAGGGAGGGAAGGCCCAGCGACCAATCAAAGGCAAGGTGAGGTGCAAAACCAGCGGCTCCCCGGGGGCCACTCACAGGCGGGGGGGCCATGGCGGAGCTGCAGCAGCTGCAGGAGTTCGAGATCCCCACCGGCAGGGAGGCGCTTAGGGGAAACCACAGCGCTCTGCTGCGCGTGGCCGACTACTGCGAGAACAACTACCTGCAGGTAGGTGGGGGCGCCCCAACCCTCAGGACGGGGTGTCCTGACAGTGCTGTCCTGGGCCCGGGCTCCTATCCAGACCTGGCTCACCCCAATCTCCCCAACAGGGCCCCTGACCCCAAGCCACCCACACGCGGCCTCTGGGCCCTTCTCTCTCCCAGGGCCACGTCCGTCCAGGGCCACGTCTGTCTGTCCTGTTGCCAGGCCCCGGCCCAGCACCATACCCATCCTCGCTTTGCAGTCAAATCCTGAGGCACAGGGAGGCGTCCTCACACACATGTGCCGTGGCTCCCTTTGCAGGCTCTCGGGGGGGCTTCAGAGGACCTTTCCAAGCATGTAGTGAACTTGAGGTGGGCAAGAACAAAGTGCTATTCCTGATACTTGAGGGAGAGCAGCGAGACATCAGACCAAGCTGGTCACAGGGACAGGACTGATGCGAGGGAGGGATGGACACCCCTGGGGCGCAGGACAGGAGGGGCCACCCCAGCGGTTTTCTACATTGTATGAGAAGGTTTTTAGACCGGGAGGAGCAGGGAGAGGGAGACTTAGCAGTGACTGAGCACCCCTGTCGTTTCATGGATCCTCATAGCCCTCTGGGACATGTAATGTTGTTCTCGGTTCATAGCTGAGGAAACAGCAGCGAGGGAGGCGACCTGGGCCAGGTCACACAGCCCGGAAAGAGTAGGATCACTCAGGCCGGGCCTGGCGCGCGCTCTCTCTCTCTCTCTCCTCCCTGTCCCCTGCTCCGCCTCCCTGACAGCCCCAGTGTCTTTAAGACAGTTGATGTGGTCTTCTGCTCTGTTTCTCTGCTCCCTTAAAAACTACAGGCTAGCCCTGATGCCCTCTGGGAAAAACTTTATTTTTCTTATATATTCTAATCAAGCTATAGGAAGAGGTGCAGGGACCTCCCCAAACAGCATGGGTGTTGGGAGAAAAAAAAAATAGACCATGAAGGGAGCAAGTGCTTCTGGGAAGATGGCAGATGAAAGCACGTTGGCAGGCTCCCGAGCGTGCCTTGGGCTGGTGCCTCGCCACATCGCCAACTTCAGTGAGCACCACGCTTCCTTCACTGAGCAGACTGAGGTTCGAGAGGCCAATTCACTTTCCAAGGTAGCCAAGCTAGTGGCAGAATCTGGACTTGGTCCCTTAATTCTGACTCCAGACCCCACCTGCTCACGCTCCAGTCGACACTACCTGGGTACAATTTCTGTTGGAGATGTTGAGACGGTCTTGTGGAGGAGATGGCTTGGGAGGCAGCTTGGCTCTCTCAGCGCTGCAAGGCAAACTCCTGCAACCCAGGGTAGGAGCACACCTCCGACCCCCTCAGCAACGTCTGTGCATCTCGAAGCATTTCCTACTGGGTTCTACTTTGCACACAGGATTTGGGGAAATTTGAGTCCAAGGTCCAGCCCAGCAGCCTAGCAATGATGGGACCTGTGGTGACGTTGCCCTGCATGGTGGCCACATGGGTTAAATGATAATGTATTTAGATGTTTAGCCCAGTTCTTTAAGAAGGGCAGGATAATTGTCAGTTGTTGCCACTGTGACTATGATTAGTAGCCTCACTTATTAAAGCATGAAAGGTGGATACAGCTAGTAAAGTCCAGGTGAAGCAGTCTTTGCAAAAACACTCAGGGCACTGGCGTCATCACCTGGGGAATTCTGCTTCCTGCACACAGGATGCTCAGCTCTAGGGGAGACCTCAGAAGAACCCCTGAGACCTGCTCCATGGGGCAACAATCATTTACTGCCCCTGAGGATCTGTGAGGAGCAAATGTCTGCGGAGGGTTTGGAGAACTTCTCAGAACTGCCCAACCAGGTGTCAGGAAGCCCTTGGGGACTAGGGGAGGGCAGGCTGAGGTCACCTGCAGGGTTCTAGGTCAGGGTCCACTGAGCTGCCAGATTTGCATGATGAATAATCAGTGGTCACTAAGATGGGTCCCAGAGCTCAGTCCCTCAGTCCTAACTTTGGGCCAAGAACAAAGCCAGGGGCCAGCATGGATCTAGGCTCTAGCATCTAGGACCTGGGTCCGGGGCGGAGACCAGAGGGGTAGCGCTTCTCTAGTCTGGGCCCTCCTCGCCCCACTTGTAGAGGAAGGCCTTGAGCTAGAGCAAGGCCTCCTGCTATCCTTCCAGGTTTTAAGGTCCTAGGCTGATTCCTTTACCTGTTTAAGTCTTCTGATTATGGAGGCACCCAGGTCTCAGCACCTGGCCCGGTAGACCCTATGACTCTGTTCTCTGACAAGCTTTGGGAGCACTGGATGCTCTTGGCAAGTTGGCCTTGCCCAACTTTCCCCAGCCTCCCCTCCCCCTGCTCGAGGAAAAAGGCACAGGCCAGAGAGCCTGTGACCGACCTGAGATGAGGAAGCTGCCTAGGGAACCAAATAACCCAGAAGTTTTGCCCCAACCCCCACAGTCTGATCCAGCACTAAAAAAAACCTCTTCTATCTTCAGCCACTCCCTGCCCGCCCCTCCATCACTGACTGGCAGTGTGACCCTGGCCAGCACCTGGCATAGTGCCTGGCACGTAAGAGGAAGATGCCCAGCAAGTGTTTGGGATTACTTTCAATTCCTTAATTAAGTTACAAAAGCATTTTTTTTAAAGATTTATTTATTTGTGCATACAGAACTGGGGTACAGGCCAGAGGCACAGGGGTGGTGAGAGGCCTCACCAGAGACAGAGAGGGGAGCAGAACAGACAGGTCTACGAAGTACATTGCTGAGGGGAGCAGCGGGCGGGTCAGGAGAGGTCTGGCGCCATGTGGTCACCTCTAGGACAGGCGGGAATCGAACTCATGCGGAAGCGGCTTTAGATTCTCAGTGTTGTGCTTTAACCCGCTGCGCCACCAGGGAGGGCCAGCATTTTTTTTTTTTTAAAGTATTGTTTGTGTGTTGGGCACTATTTTAAGATACCATCCAGAATAAAACAGACCTGCTCCCTACCCTCACAGTGCTGGCTTTTAGTAGAGGGAATAGATAACAAAATGAGTGAACACATCATTCCTGGATGTGCTAAGTGCTATGAGGAAAAGAGAAAAGATAAGTGTGACAGTGGCCATAGAGATTGTGAGGAAACATGTCTGAGAAGCTGAGACTTAGTCATAGGATTCTAGAAAGACGTACAGTAAATGCAAAAGTCCTGAGGTAGAAGCACCCTGGTTTCATCAGGAACCGAGACTTAAAGGCCAGGAGGCTGGAGAGGAGCCAGTGTGCAGAGGATGAGGGTGAAGAGAAAGGCAGGAGCCAGACTTGTGGGTCCAGCGTGGGCCATGGTTAAAAGTTTGGGTTTTCAAAGGACACAAAAACACTGATTCAAAAAGACACCTGCACCCCCATGTTTATTGCTGCTTTATTTACAACTGGACAGACATGGAAACAGCCCAAATGCCCACAAGTAGATGACTGGATTAAAAAGATGTGGTACATATTGGTACATATACACAATGGAATATTACTCAGCAGTCAAAAAGATAAGCATATGCCTTTTGCAGCAACATGGATGGAGCTGGAAGGGATCATGCTTAGTGAGATAAGCCAGAAAGAAAAGGAAAAATACCAGATGGTTTCACTCATAGCAGGAGTATAAAGGACCAGGGGAGAAAATAATAATAATGAACAACTACATACCAGAGACATTTTATGGGGGTGGAGTGGGGAAGGGGATCAAAAATGGGGGGGGAGGGAGTGCACTGGACTATGGTGATGGCACATGGGTGATTTGGTGATGGGAAGCCCACAGGGATTACAACTGAGATGGAAAAAGGCACAAAATGATATAAAAATAAACAGTATTTTAAAAAATATATTATATGTAGACATAATTGCATAATTAGCTGATATGTATAAATACTGTAAAAAAATGTTTGGGTTTTATGCTCAGCCTGTGTGTCAGGAAGCTGTTGGAGGACATGAGTGAATGAAGTCACTTCCTTGTGGACCTCAGTTTCTTTATTCACAGAACAGACCAGATCGCCTGTTCCCAAATGCCAGCCTGCACTGGACTAGAAGCACAGGTGTTAGCTGAGTTGTTTCAACAGTGCAGACTCAGGGGACCCTTCCAAGGGATTCTGGTTAGAAGGGCTGTGGGTGTTTATCCATTAGATAGCTAAGAGTTGCTGCTTGCCCCAACTTCCCCCCCCCCCCAGCTCCACCCTGCCTGGCTGGCTGACTCAGGCCTGGCTGTCTGTATTTCAGGCCACAGACAAGCGGAAGGCGCTGGAGGAGACCATGGCCTTTACCACCCAGGCCCTAGCCAGCGTGGCCTACCAGGTGGGCAACCTGGCTGGGCACACCCTGCGCATGTTGGACCTGCAGGCAGCTGGCTTGCGGCAGGTGGAGGCCCGAGTGAGCACACTGGGCCAGGTAAGGGGTGTGGGGAGGTGCCCTGCTTTAGCCACCAGCAACTCAGCCCGCCTGGGCATTTCCTTCCAGTGAAGTTCTTCACCGCCTCCTTTCATGTCCAAATGCCTGGCAGAAGCCTGGCACATGCCCAATTTTGTGAACCCTTTTTTCTCTGTGTGGGTCAGTGCAGGGCCTTCCCACCCCATTGAAACAGGGGTTCCCGAAGGCAGAGCTCTCTGTTTGTCTGCCACCTTGCGCCAGTAGCTGCAGAGTACTCGGGAACTCGGCGGAGGGACCCTGTCCCCCGTGAACACAGGCGGTGACTTGATGGCGTCCTAGGCCCGGAGGCTGGCTGGGGAGCCACGCACAGCCCTGGGCGCTCTGCCCACGGCCTGCCCCACCTACTGCAGCACACACACCCTCTGGCTTCCTTCCTGGATCCTCGGCGGCGGCGGAATTGCCCCATGAACCTTGTGCACATCCAGTTACACATTCCACGGGGACTGAGCATCACCTACATGCTCAGGGCGGGGTGTGCCTTTTCCTCTCACCCAGAGTCCCCACCCTCCAGTGCTGTAGGTTTTGCTACAGAACCTTCCAAAAGGAAGTCAGTTCACTTATTTGTCCTCGCAAAGGGAGCACTTGTTGTGAATCCCAACCACCTCGGTGTTACCCCCTGCTCTGGAGCCAGCCCTGTCCCGTCCCCTCCGTCTCTTCCCAGCGTCCCCAGGGACACTGGGTTCTCTCCTTTCCCTTTGTTCCTGCTCAGCTAATAATAACCCTCATTCTTGCCCATCAGGAAGTTGGTCCAAAGTGGTTCCATCCTCCTGCTGCTGGTCTTTCCAAATGCTGTAGGCCTTGGGTACAAAACTCACAAATTCTCTGGCCTCTTTCTCCCTTAAGGGAAGGGGCGCTGTAGAGAGGCCACCCCTTGCTGTCACCTCCACCCCCACTTGCAGATGGTGAACATGCATATGGAGAAGGTGGCCCGAAGGGAGATCGGCACCCTGGCCACCGTCCAGCGGCTGCCCCAGGGCCAGAAAGTCATCGCCCCAGAGAGCCTGCCCCCCCTCACACCCTACTGCAGGAGACCCCTCAACTTCGGCTGCCTGGATGACATTGGCCATGGGATCAAGGTAGGGCGAGGAGACCCTCGGTTTTCTCCGCAACTCAGCCTCTTCTGTCTCATGGCTCCCTTCTCATGAGGCTCCCAGTTCTCTTGGACCCCCGCAAACAAACCCCTTTCTTTCCTCATTCCCTGAAGTGATCCCCAAGTCCCCAGCTCCCCAGGTCTGTCATCCTTATGGGATTTCTCTCCTCTTTAAAAATCCTTCAGGACCCCTCCAGCATAACTGAGCTCTGCCCTGCACTCAGATGATCTGCTGAGAGTGCCATCTGAGCACACCCATGGGTGCAGGCTGTGTGAGGGGAAGAGGGGAGGCAGGTGTCAGGGTGTGCATGAGAATCTCTCTCTCCAGCCACATGAGAACAGCAACTTCCTCTGTCTGGAGGTTTGAGGTCACTGCACTGAGCACTCACCCTAGAGCTGCTGCTGGGTGGGGAGGGGAGGGGCTCAGTCACTCAAAGGGAAGAGAGGGGAACAGGACAGGCATTTCTTCCCAGCCCTTCCTGAGAGGTGGGAGAAGACACACACGCACATTCAAACGCACACACATCCCTAGTGACTTCTGTCTTCACATTTGAGTCTTCCCGCCAAGGAAAATGGTCCCCTGGAGCTAAATGACTCTTTGTTATCCTTAACATATCTTCTGCCCCCCAAAGGGAATTGCATCCCTCCTTCAACCCCAGGCTTCCCTACCAGCAAGTTCTTGCCCAACTGAAATTCTTTCTGTTTCAGCTCAAGTACTGTTTGTTTGTCTTCAGTGAAGTGTGGAGCTAGCTGAGGGTACCACTCCCCGTGTACCCCGTCTTTGGGGAAGCCCCTTCAGTGACCTAGTGCTCTCTTGCATGTGGGATTGCAGCTTGCCATTCAGTACCCTCCTCTAAACGTTCTGCCCCTTTCTGGACTCCCCAAGTCAGTTCCACCCACCTGTGCCAGGCTATAAGTATGTGGGTGCTCTCCTTTCCACAGTCCTGGCTGGGATTGGGGTCTAATGGGTGTTAGAGACCACCAGCCAGGCTTCCAGCTCCCTGGGCGCCCAGATGCTGTGGGGGAGGGGCCCACTCAGCGCAGAAGCTAAGCAGAGGAAGTGGCTGGCAGACATGTCCAAGCCGAGGTTTCTGTGGGGGCCTCCTGCAGATGAGGGGCCTGGAGGCCCAGGGCAACAGGGGTGTTGCGGTGGTGGGTGGGAAGTGGGAACTCGCTGTGCTGCGCTCTGGCCCTCCCAGATCTTTCTGTCTTCCGTCGCCCATTTCCTCTCTCATTAGTTGGGGTTGGGTTTCCCTATAGCCATAAGGGGACCTCTGCCCTCTGTCCCCCGCAGGACCTGAGCACTCAGCTGTCGCGGACCGGGACCCTGTCTCGCAAAAGCATCAAAGCACCTGCCACACCCACCTCGGCCACGCTGGGGTGAGGCTTCCAGGCTACCGACGTCTCCCCAGTGGATCCTGAAACTACCGTTTCTCCACGCCTGGCGCCATCAGGCAGCTGCCCCTCCGCCTGCACCCCACCCCTGCTTGCCAGAAGACTTCCTCTCTCCTCACAACTGCCCCCCTCCATCTGCAGGAGAGCGCCCCGGATCCCTGAGCCGGTGCAGCTCCCCGTGGTGCCTGACGGCAAACTCTCCGCTGCCTCCTCAGTCTCTTCTCTGACCTCTGCGGGGTGAGTCTATATCAGGCTTGGGGGAGCGGGCGGCGGGGGGAGGAGGGGTGTCGCGATCTCGCGGGGGCGGGGGCGGGGCTCCTGAGAGGGTAATGTGCCTTCTAACCTGAGCCCTGCTCTGGCTGGTCCGCAGCAGCGCTGAAGGTGTCGGTGGGGTCTCTCAGACCAAGGGGCTGGCCGCACCCCCACCCCCACCTCTCCCCAGTTCCATGACTCCACCCCCTCCACCTGTCCTGGCCTCGGCTGACGTCTTCCTGCCGCCCCCGCCCCCTCCGCTGGAGGACGCTCCAGGTAAGGAGCTCTGGCCTCTCCTTCCAGCTGGACAGCCGGGGGACTTGCTGGCCTTCTCACCTCCAGATAGTCCACCTCGCCTCCCTTGGGTCCCCTACCTCAGTGCTTCCTCCCTCAAGTAGGAGTAACAGGAAGGGGAAGGGGGAGGAAGCGAGCTAACAGAATTGACTGTCTTACACTAGGCTGGTGTGTGAAACTTCTCACCATTTTCTCATTTAAATTTAACCCCTGGAGCTCTTCACATTTTCACTTAACAGATGAAGTGCTGAGGTGAGAGGGCAAATGGCTTGTGTGAGGTCCCCTGGCCATCATGGCACAATCCCGTCCAGCTCGCTGTCCCTCACTGTTTAAGATTCCCATGCTTACTGAGCAGCTACTGTGTGCCCGGGCATTGTGGGGGCCCAGCATGGGTGCCCGGGGAGGAAAATCCCAAGTGGGTAGGCGCTGATCGAGAACAGCAGCACTTCCTGGGCAGCGAGCATGGAGGGGTTCCCTGGGCCATGGTGGACCAGGACCTTCCTGCTCTCCCTCCCAGCCACGGACCTGCCCCAGCCTCTGGACCTGCCCCCACCTCTGGACCTGTCCCAGCCTCTGGATCTGCCCCAGCCTCTGGACCTGCCCCCGCCCCCACTCCCTGATGCGGATGAACTGGGGCTGCTGCCTCCGCCCCCACCAGGCTTTGAGACTGAAGAGCCCAGTTGGGTTCCAGCTTCCTACCTGGAGAAAGGTACTTGACTCCTGAGTCTGAAGGGCCCCAGCTCCCAGGACCAGGGTTCCCCCACTCTACCTCAGAGGTATTCAGGTTTGTCCCCTTCTTACGGCTACGGCAATCTCCTCCCCCATTTTTCTGACGATTTGAGGAAATGTTCACCCAGAAGTCCCCTCAGAATCAGGCTGGGAAGACAGGCAGTTGGCCCAGTACTGACAGCTGAGCTGGGAAGGGTCCCCCCACACACCCTTCTCCCCTAGAGGCTCCCTAGAATCCGTGATGCGGGCCCTTGCTTTCAGTGGGGCAGGAGGCACATCTTACAGCACCCTCTCCTCTTGCCCTGCAGTGGTGACACTTTACCCGTACACCCGCCAGAAGGACAACGAGCTCTCCTTCTCTGAGGGCACTGTCATCTGCATCACCCGCCGCTACTCAGATGGCTGGTGCGAGGGCGTCAGCTCAGAGGGGAGTGGATTCTTCCCTGGGAACTATGTGGAGCCCAGCTGCTGACAGCGGAGGCTCTGTGGGCCACCGACCCAGGCTCCACCCAGAGAGTCCGTAGAGCTGCAGGCCAAAGCCAACCCCAAAGTCAAGGCTGTCTTCTACACCGGCCCACCTCCCTGGGCTTAAGCTGTGTCTGCCCCTTTCCACATTGTGGCAGGGAGGCCCTGGGGCTAGAGGAGATGCCCAGAGGCCCGGAGCAGACAGGAAAGAACCCAGCCAAGGAGTTTGGTGATTTTGTCCATAAAAGGGCCCCCATCCATGCAAGATGGGGTCTCCAGCTGCAAGCGCCAACTTGGAATAAAACTGCTGACTTGATGACTGCCCTGCAGGGCTGAGGAGTCAGAGCAGCGATTGAAAGGTATCCCCGCTGTTAAGGTTCCTGATAATCTCTGCCCCCCCAGCAGCAGTATCGCCCCATCTCGCAGGTCCCCACTTAAGTGCCCTCCACACTTGACCCGCTGCCCCTCTTCAGCTCCTGGTGCACCGTGTTCTCCGTGTCCGAGTGTCCTGTTCAATCTTGGTTCCTCAGGCTGGCTCTCCCCCAAGAATGGGGTCAGCTCCCTTACTTAAGTGGGTTACTCTCAGAGCAGAGATCGCCCCACCCCTCGCCCCTTAGACTGTGGCGCAAGAGATCTCATTCACGTCTCCCCACTTGACCTCCTTTATAGCTCTAAAACACCAAAAAGGGAGTAGGGGCTTGGGTGTTGCTGGCTCTGCTTTAAAACATCATGGCTTTCGGTTCCATACGGGAGGGGAGAACGCGCGCAGGGGAGGGGGCAGCCGGCGCGGGCGACTTTGGTAAAAAGCCCCTGGTCACTTGCTGCATAGACGAGGCTGGGGTGCGAGGAGACAGTCGCAGGCTGCTTGTGGTCCCTGGTTGGCCAGACCCGCGCGGGACTGTGTGCTACCTCGTTCCACCACCAGGAGGCGACAATTCCCTCTGGCTTTTTTTCCTTTGGGGATGCTGGCGGGTGGACCGCGGGGTTGAAGGGCGCAGGAAGAAAAGGGGTGTAGTGTGGGGAAGGTGAAGCAAGATCTAGGCTCCGGGCCGTCGGCGGAGAGCGTCATTTCTCTCTATGGGTTGTCCAGTTTGGCCGAGAGGCTCTCAGGACCCGGGTCCTCTTAAGAGAAATCTAGGGGAATAAGCAAGAGGGTTCGCGGCCCGAGGCTGCAATTAAAGCGGCGAGATACTTTCTCTCCACCGCCAAGGACCTGCTTTCTCCCAGTTCGGAGCACACGGTTTTTGGAAGCGCTGCTGCTGTCTCAGGTATGTGCTCCATCCCGGTTGGGCCTGCACTCAGCTACGGCAGGAGAACTGGGGGCGCAGCCGAACTGGGTTAACTGCATAGATAGGGTCGGCTCCGAACTCCCTCCCCAGACCCAAAATGGACGAGCCTGGAATCCCAGAAATTCCCGGAGGGACAAACCAAAGGGAAAAGGGAGTAATAAAAGTAGGTTTGTCTTTCCCGATCTCCCCCACCCCTCGGCCCGTTTCCACCCGGTCGCTCCGGCGCCCCCAGCAGGCCGCGGTCCTCAGCATGTCTTCAGCACCTGCTGCAGATGGAGGCGCACGTCGGCGGCGGTTTCCCAGGGCACCACACCGGCGCGGAAGGAGCTGGGCTCGGTCTTCTGGGCCTCCTGGATGAGGCGGTGCATAGGGTAGCCGCGGCGCGGGAAGGCCACGTCGCCGCCAGCCAGCAGCCCCATGGGGCAGAAGTCGTTGGCGCCGTCGCCCACGTAGAAAAGGCGCTCGAAGTGCACGCCGTCGTGGGCCCGCTCGCGCAGGTAGTCGCTCAGCACCTTGTGCTTGCACATGTTGGCGGGGCAGCGCGTGCAGCTGTGCGTGTGGAAGGGCCGCAGCGCCAGCAGCCCGCGCGCGTCGGGCCCCGACGGGTTGCTGAGGATGCGGCGGAACAGGCCGTGGTGGCCCGCGGCGCGCAGAGCGCTCTCCACGCCGAAGGTGTTGGCATCCGAGATGAGAATCACCTCGAAGCAGGAGCCCTGCTTGGCCACAAACTGCAGCAGGTCGCCCATGCCCGGCGTCAGGGGGATGGCCTCGTAGATGGCGCGCAGGTCCCGCGGCCGCACGCCCTGCTCGCCCAGGTACTTGAAGACGCGCTGCATGTACTCGTTGTAGAAGCCCTCGCGGTAGGTGGCACGCAGGCTCTCGGGCAGTCGCTGGCCCGGAGCGGCGCGCACGATGGAGTCGTCGCTGTTTTCGTCCACGATAGTCTCATCGAAGTCGAAGGTCAGGAGGAAGCGCGGCGCGCCCTGCGCTGCCATCCCGCCGTCCTGGGAGCAGGGGGGAGAGGAGCAGGAGGAGGAAGCAAGCGAGAGGGGGCGCGGCGGGAGCCGGCCGAGGAGAGGCTTGTTAGCAGGCCACAGCCAGAGGCGCTGGCACTTCCAAGACCTGAGGAGGACCCAAGGCTGGTTAAGCTGGGTGGAGTGCCCGCCCCGCCCTGCCCCGCCCCCAGCCTCCCCACCCACCCGTTAGCACCTCTCCTTAACTGCGCTGGGTTTATCCTCAGGAGTTCTCCCAAACCCAGAAGGGTTCCTCGCACCTGTTTCTGCTTCTCTGCTTCTCGCAGGGGGTTAACAAGGGTTAGCTTAAAAGAGGGGCGAGCAGCTTCCAAGAGGTCACCCCTTTGGGGAGATTTCTGGTCTAGATGGCTGTAGGGAATTACTGCAACCCCTGCTGGAGATGTGGGTACACGTGGGGGGGGGGCTCTCCACTACCTTGTGCCCTAGCAACTGCTCAAGGGGGATGCCCATTCACCCCACTAGAGGAACCATGGCTGGGGGACTGTGGTGGGCAATAAGGAGCCAGGCTTTTGGCCGACTGTTGGCATTATCCCGGATGTGGACAATGAGTGCCAGGTCCCCGGCCCTGGACAGGAGCTAAGTGCCAGTCCTGAAGAGTTTGCAGAGAACTGGATTTTGGTTTGTGGAATAACCAGTCAGGTGGACTGACGCGGGCAGCCTCTCTGGGAGCTTCTTCCAGGCAGATGGGTCTGGAAAGGGTCCAGGGGTGGGACACAGTTTTAGGGCCCTGTGCTGCCAGCTCATCACTAATCACTTGCCAATTCCCTGGGAGGAAGGTGTCAGGTGGGGTTTCTGCCAGAGTCCGAAGCAAGCGGGCAGCAGGAGAAGCAGTGGGGCTTGGGGAGGTAGGAGCCTCCCGCACCAGGCCACGACATACCTGGGAGACAGGTAAGGGAGAGGAGAGAGAGCAGCCGTGGCTGAGACAGCAGAGGAGGGAGCAGGAGTGGAGGGTGATGCAGGGTGGGGAGAGGGAGCTGGGGTGAGCTGGGAGACAGACTGGACAGGAAGACAGAGCGGGGTCTGGGTGCTCCCGAAGTGGTCAGACTTTGCGCCAGAGTCACGCTGACGGGATATGGAGAGGATGGGGGCAACAGGCAAGTGTGAGGGAACAAAGAAAGGCAAGCGACCAGGGACAGCAGAGCCCCAGCGGCCTATCAGTGCTGCTGCCTGTAGGCGGCGCTACAAGATGGCAGAGTGAGCGCCAGGCCTGGCTTCGCGCCGCCACAAGGCCTTTCTCCTGCCTCGGCCTCCCACACCTCTTTCTGGTGTTTTCCTAAGACGTCTGTGGTGCTCAGGGCCTGGCACGTCTCTGCTTCCCTACCAGACTGTTCCTTTGCCCGCAACCTCAGGGTCGCCCTCTGGTCTCACCACCATCTACTGGGAATCTCAGGGGTGGGGCTGACGAGTTGAAGTTGTAAAAGCTTCAGGACCCCACATCTGGGATGGAAGCTTCCAGGGTGGGGTGGAGGCCTGGTCAGGGTGAGGCCAGCCTGACAGGGGCAGGATGGGGCTCTTACCACCTCGGTGGGAAAGTGGGGCTTGAGGTCTCACCTGAAGTGACCCCTAGAGGGACCCACTTACCCTGGACAGGCACCGGAGGCCAGCAACTGAAAAGCACCCGTTCATTGTTGGCATATCACCCTGGTCACCACTTGCAGGACTCTGTTGGCCTCCAGCCGTCGTCCAGAGCTCCTGACAACCACAAAAGTCCATCTGAAGGTGCATCGTCAGCGGGCTTTCCTGTCATTATGTCCATCTGGCCTTATCCCTCTGCTGAGCCCTTGAAATAACTCTCAGGAGTTCAATGAAAACTGCCCCTTGGAACAGGCACAGCACTGACAGACCCCAAGGTCCTTGTTAGGCATCCTCTTAACAACCCCCCGGATGTCTGAAGTTACAGATGACATTACTGGGGACCCAGACAGCTTAACCCATTGGCCCAAAGGTCTCCTACTGCAGGTGGTAGTCACATCTCAAATGCGGCATGAGGCTGGTGCTTTCTCTTGAGTATGATCAGCGCCCCTGTCACATGTTGGTACGAGTTTATTAACCACCTTCACTCACATTCTGAGTCCCAGGAACTCAGCAGAGGAGGGCTGAGGTTAAATAACTCACAGGGGGTCATGCTGTTCCCTGGGGCAAAGCCTGGATCCATGAACACCTGGCCTCATGAGGCCTTGCCTTCCCTCTGCCCTCAAAAGGCAAGGGGCAGGTGACTGGGCTCACTGTCCCACAGTGCAGGGGACTGGGTCATCTGGGACTGACCTTCTAGTGCTGTCAGAAGCCAGCAGTGGGACAGGACTCAGGTTGAAAATTTCTGTGGGATTTGCTATGTGGCTCTGATGATGGGGCTTTCATCTTGCATCTACAAAGGACACCATCTACAGCTCCCAGTGCTCTCCCTAGGCCCCCACTCACCTCCACCCTGAGGTGGAATGAGACCAGAGGCAGCTAGAGCTGGGAGAGACTGGAAGGAGATTAAAGAACCTGGAGACTAGACAAGAACCAAGCAAAGGGCTGGCTGGTGCTGCCCTCTGGTGGTGACCATGTGTAGCACAGCAAGTCCCTCTGACTTTGTCAAGGTGATAGATAACGCTCCACAGACCATCCCGGAGGGCAGGGAGAAGCTACTGCCCCCAAGACAGAGACTGGGACTACCAGGAGCAGGGACCAGGTCTGAGGGAAGGACTGTATTACCTGTTATCTTGATGGACCCATCTCTCCCCCTCACATCCCGACCACATAAGCATTAAGCACTTTCAGTAGGGTTTGGATAATGGTTGCAGCCTTTTCCCTAATAACTTTTAATTAAGGAATTGTGAGAGCCAGAGCTGAATGGGTTAGCTGAATTGGGTAGTGGAAGGGGGAGAGGGCTGGGAGATGAGACTCAGGGCAAGGAGAACATGGGAGAAGGGGAGGGAGGCAAGGGGAAGGAGGTAATTAAAGTTTGGGGGGCTGGGGTACAGCCAGGTCCTATCTGGAGGGAATTCTAGCTTTCCCAAATCCTGACTGATATCATGTCTGCCCAGGGCCAGGCGTTCAAGGAGAAAGGTCAAGGGATGCCACTCCCATTGTAGAAGTAAACAGGGACAGACAAGTGTCGGGTGTGGGAGCAGCAGTCCCAGCAGCTGCCCACGGGCCAGCTTTCTTTGCTTTGCCCTTGTTTCATTTTCTCTAAGTTGATGGAGTACTTTACTACTTTTAATCACTTTCAAAACTCCTAATTTCTCTGAGCTCAAGACAGTTTTTTTAAATCTAATAATAGTAGTTAGGGAAATTAAACATTTATTGTTTGGTGAGTTGCCCTTATTTCTTTTAGTCCCCAGGGAAGAGAGCCAGGCATCCTGGGCTTCTTCCCTTAGTTACTGAGAAGCCCATGCTCGTGGGATGTCCTTCACCCTTCGCGCCCCAGTCATTAGAGGGGGCCCCACCTAATTGGAATCACCTTTAAAAAGTTACTCACCTCTGGTAGCTTTGCCCAGAGTGATCAAATCGTTTTGTGGTTGCCAAAGCGGGTTCCTCAGAGAAAAGGGGGACAAGCTCCCTGAGCTGCTCCTGCAGACTAGAGCAGAGAAAGAAGGGTTTCTTTGGGGTGTCAGGGAGTCCACCCATATTCTAGAAAGAGGTACCTGCCCCCAACTCCCCAACTCCTGCTTTCTCCTGTCTTTTACACAAATGCTCTTAGATTATATCTGTGGGAATGGGGTGGGAAGACCCTGGAAATGGGGGAAGGAAACAGGCTGTCTTAGCATAGGTCTTAAATCTGAAATTCCTGTTAATGGGCTAGGAAATAATATTGTAAAAGCCCTCTGCAAAAGACCAGATTCCCTGTGTATCAATCACTAGAAATCAGAATGAGTCACTAATCTGGAAATCTTTCCTCCCCCCACACAGCTCCCAACTTCAGTCTCTTCCTTGCTCACCAACACAGGCGGCAAATAGGAAAAACAGGCCCAGAGACGTCAAGCTAAATTCCTAGGGGTCACACAGCATCAGGATTAGGGTTCAGGGGTCTTAGGTTCCTCTTGGGAAAATTGTAGCCATATCTTCCCAAATTGCTCTGGGGAACACCCCTTCCCCCCCACACACACACCGGCTGTGCTGACAAGCTGGCCTTGATGCCTGGTGCCAGTGAAGACACTGGGACCAGAAGTCACCTCTGGGCTGGCCCTTCCTAGGTAAGGCAAGCTGGGAGGGATCCTCACTGGCCAGGGAGGTGGCAGCTGCTGGTGGAGTGGGGGGAGATATTTTTAGAGGTGGCTGGAAATCAGGCACTCTGGCACACCCCCAGCTGGCGGTGCTTCCCAATGCGGGGCGGGGGTTGCGCAGTTCGGGGAAGTCGAGGGGACTCAGGTGGGTGGCGGGGAGCAAGGGGGCACGGATTCCTTCACTTTCTCCAAATTGGGGAAGGAGGCAATACCCGGGCACCACGCTCCTGGGGTGAGCGATAGAAGGGGAATCATTCCTCGGCTCCAGGGAGGTCCCCCACCGACACACGCGTGAAGGAGCGCTCTCAAACTCCCCACAGCCCCCACCCCACAGTGGGACCCCAGCCCTCCCCTACCTCGGGAAACCCAGAACTCACGTGGGGAGCGGCGGCGGCAGAGGTCTGTCCCGACTGAGTTTGGAGTGTAAAGAGTGGGGAGAGGGGCTAGCTGAGGTATTTGGGCGCAGGATGGAGCAAGGGGTGCTTACAGAAATTGAGGGGACGCGGTGTCTTATCCGCCCCCGGATTTCTGGGCTCCGGCTCACGAGTCCCTCCAGTCCCGAGGGGCGGTGGATGATGTGCGCCTGAGCCGTCCCCTGCACCTGCCCCCCATCCCCCCGGGCCGCCGCCGCCGCGTCCCCTTTAAATGCCCGGGAGCCGGAGCCCGAGCCGCGGCAGGCGCTGCGGCTGCCGCAGCACCCCGGCCCACCGCAGTCCCCGCACGTCACAAGCGGCCGGCCAATCGCCGAGGCGCCGGCGCACATCAAAGGGGCGGGCCGCCAGCGGACCACGCCCCCGGCGGCCCCCGAGGCGCCCGGAGTCGGGAGTGCTGGCGAAGGTGGGGCTGGGCGGGGGAAGGGGCCGGAGGGTGGAGAAGCGGCCGACCGCCTCTGGCGCGCGCGGTTGGGGCACCCTCTGGAGTGACTGCGAGGTTCAGTGTGAGTCCCGACCCGCACACCTAGCAGCGCCTGGGCGCCGGACTCGGTCGGCCGCGGTCTCCAGGACTCCGGTTCCTGCGATTTACAGAAGCGCACCCCACCGCCGGGGGGTTGGCACCGGATGACCCCCGCTCAGAAGCGTTTTCTATCTCCCATTTGCACGTAGCTAGGTGTCCTCTGCCCTCTTGGCAGAGTGGTGGCGCCCCGCCTCGCTCCACCCCTTGGGACCCTTCCCGGGTTACAGGTTACTGGGGTGGCCGGAAGCAATGCGCCCATTCCCCTTACCCGGGAGCAATGTGTTGGGGAATAAAACCCCACTTTCTCCTCTGCTTCCTAACAGTTGAACCCTAGTCTCTGCACCCCCTCCTTTCCTCCCACCAGCCTGGTGGGGAGGTGATTTATTTAGAGTGGAAAGAGGTGAAACATGTACTTAGATCATACCTGTAATACTGTGGGTCACCGTCTTCCTGGCTGAATGTCCCCAACACTCAGCCTAGTTCAAAACCAGGTGCTCCTGACTCTTGGGGTCCCAAAGGGACTAAGAGAGGGAAAGCAGGGGTGGGGGTGCTTCATATGGGCCCTCCAGGCTGGGGTCTAACTTCGGTCCTCCAATAACCGGAGGCATGAAGGAGGGCAAGGAATGACCCTCATCACTGTGCCAGGCGCTCAGGTGTGTGGCTGTGCAGGCCAGGGGCGTGCGGTGTGTCCACTTGCTTGGTGAGGACGGACCCTTGAAGCTGCAAGCCAGAGCCTTACAGCTCAGACACTGCCTGCTCCCTAAACCAGCCTGGGGCTGCGGGCGTCCCAAGCTCCTCTCCTTATCCATCCTTCCCACACTCCCCTCAGCCTGCTCTTTCCCTCTCAGGAGACTCCGCCCTCAGGCACATACCAGCCCCCTTTGCTCCGTAATAGATGTTGTAGGTATTTTCCTGTGTGTATCAATTTAGGCAGTTTTCTCCACTCTATCATGTGGGTTCAGGAAGGGTGAGTAGGGGTCTTGCTGACAAAGGTACTCCTACTATCCCCAAATCTGCCGTCCAGCCGCGGGAATACCAAAGCCCACAAGAGCTACCACAAAGGCCCTTGTGTGATAAACATAGTTACTCCCGGTTCTTCTGATGGAAGAGTTTCAAGTCACAGCCCTGTCTCTCTTTAAACTTTCCCCTCTCTGGGTCTCCCTCGTGACACAGGGGTTCACACACAGCACTATGAAGCTATTGGCAGCCACTGCAGCTCAGGGTGCAGCTGGGGGGAGCTGACCCACATGGCAGACTTCTCCTGTCTTGCCTGTTCTTCCCCCGGCAGTGTATTTCTGTCAGTCCGCCTGTTCTGCTCCCCACTGTCTCTGGTAAATCCTCTCACCCCCCCACACCTGTCCTACATCCCAACTCTTGTATGCATAAATACATAAAAATAAATCTTTTCCCCTCATTGTGCCAATGAGTAAGCAGTTTGGATGATGGTTTCAGTCTCTACAGATCAGAACTGGAATGGGAACCCCACTCTCCACCCCTCTTCCCCAGGAGGTTGAGGCCTGGCCAGGTCCTGGGGCTGCAGAAGGTCCCCTCTGCTTGTGGGGTTCACCTTAGGATGCAGGTCAGTGTTCTGGCAGAAAACTATGTGGAAGTGATCTGAGGTGACAGGGCCAAAAGTCGCTGGTCAACCAGCCCTAACTGCCAGCCTCACAGCTAAAGCGCTCCAGCTGGTCTTCACCAAGAGGATGTGACTTGCCCCAGGGAGGTTTGTTTTCCATGTTAGAGAGGAGAGCAGAGCTCTCTGTGCCCGTGGGAGGGGTGAGGGCACCAGGGTGTGCAGGTAGGGACTTCTCAATTCAGGCCACAGGCTCCACATGGGGAAGGACAGGAGACTGCAGGCTGGGTGCTGAGTGCCAACTTCCATGGCACGCGGTTGTGTTTGTTTTTACCAATGCGAAAGCAGAGGTTGGGGGCATGGAAAGCCTGGCCCAGCTTGCTATGTAACAACCTTGCTATGCGAGGTGGGCAGGCCAGATGGCTAGCTGTCTGCAGAAGGCAAAGGGCCCTGGGTCAGCTGATGAGTGATGGGACAGTGGGCTCAGTGGGGAAAGGCCGCCAGAGGGCCCCTGTCAGTTCTGCAAGACTGTTGTAGGGCGACTGGGTCTAAGACACTGCTCTCCTCGGGGACTGGTATCACAGCGACAGAGCATCACGAGGTGCCGAGCAGTGTAAGGCTTGACTGTCCTCAGCCTCAAAGTGACCCTATGATCTGTTTGTACCCCCACCCACGAGTGAGAAGCATGAGGCACTGAGTGGTATATAACTTGTCCAGGGTCACCGTGCTAAGGAGGTTGCAGAAACAAGGACTTGGATTCAGGCAGTTGCCAGAAGAGCTACGTTCTTCACTAGAATATCACATGACCTGCCTTAATCTTTTTTGATTTTGAATTACCCTTCTACAATCCAGAACAGGCTGCCCCACCCCCTCTCCATCCTTGGAAGAATCTGGCAATAACTGAGATCAAGATTCAGATCTTCACAGCTGGGACCCATCAGGGCTGAGGCTGGCCTGCTCCCCCCAACTCCCCATCATTACAAGACAGTACTTGTTGCTTGTTTGTGTTTCCATTCATTCAACAAATGTTAACTGCCTCAGATGCGGTGAGATAAGCTACTGAACAAGGCAGACCCTGCCCTCAGGGAGCTTCCCATCCAGGTAGGAGACTGAGACAAGAAAACTGTGTCAAACAGCAGGCACAGCTGTTCCTGTGGCCTCAGCCGGTGATGCAGCTAGGACCTGCAGGGCCTCTAGGCTAGACAGGCTCACCCTCCATGACTTGGGGCCCCCGAAAGGCCCAAGCGAACCCCCTTCCTCCCTGTCCCACCTGGTGCCCCGCCCACCCTCCCCTTCACTGGTGTAGCATGAAGTCGCCTCCAAACAACCTCCACCTTGCCTCCTCCCTCCCTGCCTTCCCACTGCCAGCCCCTCTCCAACAACAGCCACCCTGCCCTCCTCAGTAAGGAGCAGGGTGGGAACTGCCTGGCAAGGGGGAGGGTAAAGCACTGACGGAGAAGGAAATCCTTTTTTGCTGCCTGGCAGTGGCTTGCTGCAGATGAGGTGGAGAAAGCCAGCCCCCGGTCCCCTGGGGCAGGAAGTTCTTTCTGACTCAAATCCCACTTGCTGGGGTATTTCCTCTCACTTGGCTTCTGAAACGCAGGTTCCTGCGTATCCTCCTATGCAGAGATTCAAGATCTGCCACCCCAATTCCTTCATCTTTGCTAATTCACCTTAAAGAGAACAGGTGAGAGCCTCCCTGGTGGTGCGGAGGGTTACGGCTCAGCGCCATGAAGCTATTGCAGCCACTGCAGCAGTTAGACCCCTCCACCCCAACCACCACCCCGGCCAAGGAGGTGACCCACGCGGCATGGCAGACCTCTCCTGTCTTGCCTGTTCTTCCCCTCAGCAGTGTATTTCAGTCAGTCCGCCTGTTTTGCTCCCCGCTCTGTCTCTAGTGAATTCTCTCGCCCAGCACCTCTGGCTTGTACCCCGTTCTTGTATGCATGAATAAATAAATCTGAAAGAAAGAAAGAAAGAAAGAAAGAAAGAAAGAAAGAAAGAAAGAAAGAAAGAAAGAAAGAAAGAAAGAAAGAAAG